TAGGAAATGCGTTTTTCTAAGGTACATCAACTTTTGGGATTGACTGTATAACCAATACATCCTTAAGACGATCTTAAGAATAAGCAACGACTCTGAATACCGGCCATAAACTAGGAAAAAAAGAACAAAAACGCCTTCGATGTCGCGAACTACTTTCAGTAAATAATTATAAAAACAAGGTTAGAGAAAGGAAACATAATTGCATTTGGTAAAAAACTGTAACTTTCCCAGAATTCCGTGAACCATTCATACGGAACCGTCCCTTTGTTCAAGAGAAATCGTGTATCGATCGGTTGGGGCAAAGTTGTACGGCGCAACGTACATTATTGTATACTGTAACGATAAAGCATGGGCGAAACAACTGATATCGTTGTGTGTCGCAGGTCTGCAGCTTTGTAGTGAACCAGCCGTACGCGTTGATCAGTTCCTGTGTCTCGTTTTGGATACCGGGCCTGGTGATGATAGTGATGTACTGTAAGATCTACAAGGAGGCGGTCAGGCAGAGGAAGGCGCTCAGCAGGACGTCTAGTAACATCGTGCTGAACAGCGTTCACCACCACAGGTCCTCGACCAGGCAACATCATCATCAGCAGATGTTGCTACAAGCAGCGGCCGAAAACGGTGAGTTTCCATTACGCTACCTTTCAGAAAAAGTTTCCTATCAAACGTGTCGACGGTTTCTAGCACATAATTAAAAACAGTGAACAGAATTGTATAAAATTATGTTTTAAAAATTGTATTGGTATCATACAATACACATCCACGTTTAAAAGTGTTAGGACATTTATAGAATTTGAAGGAAGCCTGAGAAGTCATTAATAGAGAGATTTTGTGCATTTATAATAACTGTGAATATTCAAAAATTATAAGAATGTTGCACGTAGAATATTGAAAGCTGAATATATATTTCAACGTTTAAATGATAAATGAAATGTTTATCTAAAACAGATTTTTTAAACTGATACCATAAATGTTTTATGTTATAAAAAGAATCTGCAATCTAGTTATTAAACGACGATAAAAATCTTTAAGTTATTATTAAGCTCTTTACTTCGGAGTATGAGACACAGATAACATATTCCAAGTTTATATAATAAGAATTTTTACCAATTTCGTACAATAAAAAGCCAGACCACAATCTCAAATATTCAAAAAATTAAATAAATAAATTTGACATAAAGAAAGATTTACAATCAATCAAAAAAGTTGAAATTATTATATGTTTAAAGAAATGGGTAAGAAAGTACGTACATCTAAGTGAATATAAATACAAATATAAAATGAACATGAATAAATGTGATACTGTGATGAATAAGAATGAAAATGTGATTTGGTGAATTAATTAAATGAAAGACAAGTACGTATGCCCCTAAATATACTTTCGTTAAGACAATCTCATATGATTAGTAGATGTTATTTAATTTGGGTTAATGAAAATTCATATGAGGTAGAATTTTATGGTGAGGTGAGATGAGATGTCCTAATACTTTTAAATGTAATTAAAGTGTACAGAAGATATACCGTTTAACTGGTTTATATTTTTCTCTTTTTTTTTTATTATTGTCAAAGCCTTTTTGTCACGTAGGATCGGAAACTTTTTACCAGTACGTTTTAGCCTGGACAACGTTAGTTCCGGTTTGGGAAATTGGAACGTCTGTCCTCTGTCTTTGTCGTTCATGAGTTATGTTCCTCTCTTTTTATCTGTGTTGGCCACTATTGAAGCGCCGATGCTTCTCTGGAAAATAGGTTTCTGCTGAAAGAACGAAGTAAAGCTTCACCCCCTGGTGAAAATGCGCTTTAAAGGAAGCGATAAAACAAGGGTACTTTTTCCCCGGGAATAATAGCGAGATAATGATGCTTATCTGGTATAATCCTTGCAAAATTAGTTTCAGAAACGTGAAAACTACTTAAAATTGTATATTCGCAGATGATATTCATATTAAACATTCAAACATTTCTAACAGCATGAATAAACGTCCTTTTAAAGTTTATCAACAGACTGCGGATTTTATTCATTTATAAACAAATTGTAGCTGCATAAAATAGAAACGCTGCGTATAATGCATACAAATATAGAAAATCTCATAAGTGAATGCATATTGCAATGCTTAAAAATGAATTTTTTTAGTTGATTGCCATTAATGTTTCATTTTGGATAAAAATCCTCAGTCTACTCATCGAGTAATTAAACTCAGTCATTGATGTAAGAAGCATTTCAGCCACGCTTTGATAATTTCCAATCTCTGATAAATATACTAGTTTATTAAAAACAACCCTGTCAAAGTATGAACATTTGATTCACGTTTCATCTCGAGTTAATTGCGCGCCGGAAAGAGTGGAAAGGCAAATTCTGATGTTTTCCAGTTATTTTCTTTCAGGATCTCGTTTGCCAAGTATCGATCACGCGCGTTTAATTAACAGCGTTTCGCGGAACGCCCATAGCTAAAATTTTATTCCTCCGTGATTAATTTTTGGTGGCAATAATTAACGCGCACGGTCTCGATGATCGGCCGGGAATATTCGTGGAGGGCCGGATTGTTGGATAAAAACTGTGACAATGTTAATTAAAATTGATTACAAGGTCTCGCGGGATGAAAAGAGGGGCTCGTGGAATTTTTCGCTCAGCCTCGTCAGAAGGGTTTCTATTAAAGGGTTAATTAAAGACGTGGCTCGCCGTATGATACCACGAGCTACGGAAGGTTTCTTCGAAAATATTCGCCCTTGATAAATTTCCACGTTATTAAATACCGTTAAATTGGATTATACATATAATCACGAGGTTCAAACTGTTAGTAAAAATTAATAGACATTTTTCATGAAGAACGAAACTGATTTCATATTATTTAAAATTCAGAGAAAAATTTCTTTCAAGTAACATACGTTTTGTTGCACACATGCAACTCGTGGAATTTTACATATTATAATATTAAGCATCTGTGATTTTTTATAAAATCATTTCTCAAATGTAGAAATTGCCAATGAAAGTAAAACAGATAAACCAAAACTATGAATCAGTTTTATAAAGAAAAGGAGAAGGGAATAACGTTTTGAACTTTTATTACTATCTTCGTACGTTTTGGCTGGAATCGATTCGCCGGCAAATTAACTGACCCGCTGTTTGAGAAGTTTTCATGAAATTCGTAACACGAGGGTAATTATTTTCGGTCTCGCCCGAATAAATACAGGCCAGTGACTCAATTCCGCGCGTGTTTGACTGCGAAAAACGTTTCGTTACAAACATTCGGATTATAATTCTGTACCGCGTAATTATTTCCTTTTAAACTTTGAATAAAATACAATATAAACCCCTTCAGATTTTACGAAATCTTCGTTTATCGCAAATAACTGCTTACTTGTCGTTGCTAGCGAAAAAGGTTTCAAACAAAGGTTATAGCTCTAGTTGCTAGATACAAGGAAGGACCTATGTAATTTTCTTTTAACTTCATCGAAAAGAGCGATCATTGACTATGTTTTGAACCTCACTGGGTCCTATTCGCTGGTCCAACGATTGCGCGAGCACTGCTGGTCTTTAGTATTGTAGTATCTCCTCGGTTGTATAACAAACGAGGCAAAGGATTTGAAAATCTTGTAGACAGACGAGAGCAACTAGCAAATCTAAAAGGACGTCTAAACCCGCTTTTCACGTATTTAAGACACAATTCCGGAAGATTAAGGCTTCGCTTCGCGGGACCTTGTTTTTCATCTTACTTTGGAACATGGATGCGATGCGACGTCACGTGAAATATCGGGTAGGCGCTCGCAAAGGCTAGGCAGTCGGAAACTGTATTTTCCTGGGTGTTCTCAGCCACGAGACGTTGCTCCGCGAAGGGTATTACGGTTTAACGAGCTAAGAAGATTTCCCAGACCCGAGTGTGCAGCGTTTTCTTTCGCGTTCATTTAGCAACGATCGCAAATACTGCCAGTCCCTTTTAGATCTAAATATAACAGCGATTAGTGCTTGGATATTAAAGATGAGGTAGAAACGATTAACAT